CTTCATGTCGTCGGCATAAATAAGCAATTTAAGTTTTTTGACGTTTACGTATAGAATAAAAAGAAGAGGTCCCGAATGAGAGCCTTGGGGGACGCTTGAAGTGACTTGAATTGGACTCGATTTCTTTCAGATGAATTTAATTATTTGTTGGCGGTTAGTTAAATATGATTCAAGCCATTTTAAGAGCCCTGACTCAATTCCAGTTTTTTGCAATTTAAAAAGTAGCATTGGTATGTCTTTGCAGTCAAATGCCTTGCTAAAGTCTGTATAGAGAGCTTCTACGTGGTTTCCATTATCCATTGCATTCAATGAATAGTCTATAAATTCAAGTAAATTTGTCGAGGTCGAGCGACCCTTGAAAAAGCCGTGTTGCATGTCAGTAATTCTATTTTTGATTTGGAGAAATAATTTTTCGTTGACAATTGCCTCGAAAAGCTTAGGAATGCAAGAGATAATGGCTATACCACGATAATTACGTACGTCAGATTTTCGGCCAGATTTAAAGATAGGCACTAGGAATGAGCTTTTCCAAGTTTTTGGGAAGGTTCCAGATTCCAGGGACATATTAAAAATCCAGAACAATGGAGCAGTGAGTTCCATTGCTAGACATTTAATAAATACTGGAGGAATTCCGTCAGGTCCAGGACTTTTTGAGGCGTCTAAACTTTTTAAAGCCTGCAAAATATCCTGCACTTGAAGTTGATTGAGGCCAATGTCCCTTGAAAATTATGGAGAAAATGTAAAATAATCGCAGTCGCGATCTTCTTCAGAAAATGTCGTATAGATTTCTTGAAAAAAAATTGCAAATAGATTACAGTTTTTTTCCGAGCTATCACCGACATTTTCGTCGAGATGCATTATTGAAGGAAAATTGTCAGATTTTAATTTGGTTTTTACGTAATTAAAGAAGTTCTTTGGACAGGACTTTATTGCATGTTCTGTTTTTGCATTAAAGTCTTCAAATGCAGTACTGATAGCTTAATTCAGTTGATCGCATATATCCAAATAAATTAATAAATTATTACTATTATTGTGTTTTTTTTTATAAATTTTATGTGCTTTTTGCTTCCGATTTTTCAAGTTTTTTATTTGTCTGTTATACCAGACTGGATTTTGTGTATTTCTGTTGCGTCTTTTTTTCTTCAAAGGAATTTCTTCCGAAATTATTTCTGTTAAAATTTTGTAGAACACGTCTATACCAATTTCGACATTTCCTACATTCCTTAAAATTAATTGCCAAATGACACTGTTTAATTTAAATTTTATTTTGTCGTAGTCTGCTAATTTGTATTCAAAGACTTCTTCGTATTCGCAGTCGTTGGGTCTTTGGTTTTCATGCACAAATAAAGAAAATTCAATTGCTGTGTGAAACGCTTCATTTTTCCACAGTGGATTTAATGATTCGGTCACACAGAAATCTTCATTCGTTAGTAAAAAGTTGGTTTTTGATGTGGTTAATTTGGTTCAGTCCTAAATTAGCAGTTTTGTCAAAAATGAACTGCAGTGTTTCATTATCCCCAACGACTGGGAGTAAGATACATTCATTTTCAGAGTCCAGAATGAAGTCAGCATGGCGTTGATTAAAGTCTCCATAGATGTGAACTTTAACCTCAGGAGGAAGCTCAGATAGAATTTGTTCAGGACTTTGGAAGAAGGCTTCATAAGTGCTTTTATGAGCATGGTCTGGTGGAAAATACACTGAGGCAAACACGTGCGTTTCACCGGCAATGTGTGATTTCACCCAAATATGCTCAAATTCTATAAATTATGGTGTAATGATGAGTTCTGAGTTAAAATTGGTCGAAAAAGCTATAAGGACTCCACCGCCTGACTTCTTCTGAGTTGCATGAAAATTTCTGTCGTCTCTGAATACATTAAAGGCATTTCCAAAGATTTCTTCACTTTCACGCTTTCGTCCCAGCTTGTTTCAGTTGCCAGAATGACCGAGAAGGATGAGCATAATAAATTTTGATAGCTTTCCTTCATTTTAGCTGGGCTTTTAAGGCGATTGAAATTTTGACAGTAAATCAAAATTTCAGTCTCATTCTGTTTATGTGAAGAAGTTGTTGGAAGTACGTCGGTCGATAAAATATTTTCATTATTATTATTATTTACACTTACATTTCCATTTTTTTTTCTGAATGTGTCCGAAGAGTGTTGTCGTTTGATGAAAAGGTTTCTTCCGAAGTGTGCGTCAATGTCGATGAAAATTTTGGGTGCTGTAGAATTTATATGCGCCTTCCCGTGTGTGCTGCAGTCTTTGTGTGCGTTCACTAGATAAGAACGCACGGTGTGATTCCAGGTCTGCCAGGGCGTCAATGCGTGGGATTCCAAGTTCTTCGTGGACGTCCAGGAAAATTGGACGTTAGTCGTCAACAAAACCATAGGTAGGAAAGCCGCTGTTCTCTCATCAGCGTATCTGTATCGAGATTCCACAAAATTGGTGGCATAACTCCTCCTTGAGGGCATCTATGGACACTCAATTTCAAAATATCTGCTTGGTGTGGAGAATAGATAGCGGTTCTTGATCATCTGGTAAATCCAATTGGTAATAGGGATTTTGATTTAAATTCCTTTCTACTCAGCATAACCTGCAGTTAACTTCTCTTTTTCGAACGGATATGAACACAATTATTCCAAATGTATTTACCTTTCTAAACGTAGACTGAGGATGTTCAAGGAACATTAGAGCGATTTTCGTTGTGTGGCCACCTTCGCCACCTGTAGAGTACGGTGCTGCTCATCGCGCAGCAGCGATAAAGTGCAAATATTTTGCAACATGCCATATCAACTGGATAATACACTTTTTGAAAAGTCATTTTTTAAAGATCGTTATTTTAGACAGATTTATATTTTAAGAGCGCAGGTCAATATTGGGTGCGACTACTTAGCTCAAACTTTAGCTGAATTTAGCACTGAATGAGCTGAAACTTCTGGATAATGGTTTTCTCACCTACAGGAACAAATCTAAGGATTGACCCGTGGAAAATTACAACTTTTATTTTTGTGGGCCAGTCTAGTGTGGAACACTTGGTTAAAAGTAAAAGATTAGTAACGTTTTGTACAAATATCAAATCGATTTGCAGTGTGTGTATATTGCTTCCAAAGAATGCCTTTACTAATGTATGATGATAATCGTAGATAGAGAAGTTAGCTACTACCATATTCCCGCTCTCAATGCTACAATAGACACAATCTATTTAACATTACAAATTTTTTGGGAGTTCTTGTACTGTAACTAAAAAAAATCTGATTATCCGCTTATTATTATTGCAGATTTGGAAAGCACTTAAATTTCCTATAAGAATTGATCAAGAGTTTCTGATTTGGGTAGCTCAACACGTTTAGGTGAGTAGTTGTTGAGTAATGTAGTTGAGAAGTGCAAAACGTTGAAACGTCACGCAACGTATTTAGTCGCTCTCTTAATCATTTTTAGTAACTCTAATCATAAACTCTTGATCAATTTTGTTATAGAGTTGCTTGTATTATTTTTCAGTTAAACTGTTAAAAAATCAAGCAAAACCGTGGATACATCCTGGTAGAATGTGCCAATATAATTATCATTTTGAACTCGCCGCCGTCACTGACTGGTGGCAGAAGCCTCGCCCGCCTTGGCGCGGTCAACAGCACTTGATGAACGCAGCTCATTCTGAGCCGGCAATTTGTACCCACGCCGAATATTATTGTTATTGATGATGGGGCCTGTTGTTTGATAGGCCGCAGTGTAGATCGATTAATTTTCTGCTCATTTATTTTTTATCAATTTTCGTCTGATTATTGAGATATTCAAAATTAACACTGTCCTCGTTCCACTCCTCCTCCGACCCCTGGAATGGTGACTGCGCGGTCAATGCAAATTAACCCCAACGAAACACGTTTGACGGTGACCAGGACGATGATGATGTTGCACCCCCGGCAGGTTCTTATTTATTGCAACAGAGTGTAACATGACTCTTCGCCTCTACCATTCTTCTGGGTTGTGTGCTTGTATCGGTTGATGATTCTAATATTTAGGCAAGCTATTTCTGGACAGTTCTTATGGGTAATCTTTTGATTAGTTCCTACATGTCATCTTCAGGGAGGGGTCAGTTCATTCGACTGTGGGAATGAGCTTCATAATTTTGGTTAAATTTCTGGACAATCTGGGAACGAAGGAAACCAAAGGGAATTTGTAAAACAGCTTCGTTTGTTTCAGTTAATCCTTATTTAGCACCATTACCATGAGGTGAGACTAATCCTTTCAAATATTTCAATGTCAGATAAAGTAAATTTTGAACATTGTTTTTCACTCACTATTCCAGAGAGAGAGAGAGAGAGGGAGAATTTTATGCTAATGATCTGCTTTGATCCCGTCAACGACTTTTCGTGTTCTCAAGAAATGGCCTTTAATCCGCATGACCCACCCCTATGTCCACTGCGACAGCTCGGATGCAGTTCTCGCTAAAATGCATTCAGTAGTATTTATCATCATTGGCGATAAAAAAAAGTTCTCTCACTCTTTCAAATACATGTCTAACTATACACATTTAAATCACCAGTTTTTACTGCCGTCGTTGTTCAACACCGACGACGGCCGGCCCGTTTCGGGGTACCCTTTGGATAGACGGGGGTACAAATCTTCGCAGCGCACATCTTCATGACGACGTCGCGACACTCGGACACATTTGTTTTGGGAAGGGTTTAGCATCTAAAGTGTTAAAGTTGCTACATAAGTACATATATAAAAGCTGGCGCAAACTCGCAAATCGGTTTATTATTCTACTGCGGTCATAAGTTCAGAGGTGTCCTCTTGCGTGCTTACAGACGACGACGGCGACGACATTAGAAACGCGCGCGCGTGCATTCGGCAAACTTCGCTGGTCAGATAAACGCGGTGGCTGCTATTAATAAGGAGTCAATCATTCTGCTAGGCTTCAAGTGCTACTAGGAGCGTGTTCATAGATTGCGGATCGCGAACGGATTCTCTGAGTGGATTGCAGTTTGAAGCTGCTTTTGGATAGAACATTTGTGCAATCATGAAGCTTTTGGTGAGTTGAAGCTGATACAAACGTTACTAACCTGAATGGGAGTTGAATGGTTTCGATGGTTTTTTCAATGAATTATTAAGTTTAATTTGTGTTATGTTGATGTTGGAAAGTGAATGTTCTTTGGCTTCATGCATTCATGAAGATTTCTAAGATCGTGATCTGTTACGGTGCTAGAGATTAAACACTGTTGGAATATTATCTCATATAGTGCTGGCAAGTTGTGTTTCAACTCTATCGACATTGCTAGTTTACTCTGTAATTGATTTGCGCAGTTTGCTTATCGGACAACAACAGAAGATTTATAGATGAACGTGTTCGACTGAATTGGAAAATTTGTGCTTTCAGTTTGTGGCTCGGCAGTCTTGTTTATTTATTATCAAATTAATAACAATTTACTCTCTCCAAACGTTTCGGCCCTGTATAGAGGCCTTCTTCAAGGATAAATCATGGAACCGCTAAACGTTAAATGTACACACTTAATATTGTTTACCGAATCTCGGCAATTTTTGCTTCCGGCAAACATATTTTGGTGAGAGCTCAGCTAAAGTGACGTTTGGTTGCTGAGTCTTGGAAAATGTTTTGCTGAATCTCAGCAAACAAACCTTATGTTTGCTAAGATCTCAGTAAAATTTAATGCCGTGCACTCGGCTGTGCAAATCTCGGCAAAACATTTCTGAGCTGGCCGAAAAATAAGTGCGCAGTTGATCCTGAAATCTTGAATAATATAGATTATTTTACAGAGGTTTTGAAGCACCTACAAATGTTTTAAATAATTTCTGAGCAACATGATATTATGCAGATGATCCGGACAGCAATTACACCAAAAACTACATATGCCAGCAACACTGACTGGGTGTATCCTATGGCTTACCTTCCCTACTAACATAATTCCTAAATTCCCGAGACATTTATGAGGGGTCGTAGAGTTCTCTGCATCTCTCTAAAGTAAATGTTGAACTAACATAACTTTCCTATCCCTACCAGTTGTAAGGACGTGGCCAGGACAATCCTTAACTGTTGGAGTGGGTTATGTCTTTATCTGGGAGATAATAATTACTTCCTACTTACTATCTGTCCAGTAATAGATATCCGTCTTGCTCTTAATAGTTTTGAATTCGTACCACCTACGATATTGTGCAACTTGTTCGATATTATGAGAGAATATATGACAAATGAGATTAGGATTGCTGGCCAGATGAAGATCTTCAGAATAGTACCTGATGAACCTGAAGTCTTGAACAAACGACCAAAGGACTCCACGGAGAGCGTTGATCCTCCGGAGATCTTTTAAAAATTAATGGTCAACATGGCATTATGCGTGAATATCTAAGAATGCTAAGATCCTCAGGTAGCAAATTGATGCTTGAAAAGTGTTCTTTCAATGATGTTAATTAAGTCTTTGTTTGAATAATTTTAGATAGAGCTGGAATTAGGGCGTAACAACTTTTGTAAACAATGACTCCTCTAGGATTTCTAGGAAGCCTTCCCCTATCTGATGGTGATGTTGATTTACGTGGGCGAGCCTTGACTTTCTTAAAATCATCGAGGGAGCTCATTGTTTACAAAAGCTGTTACACCCTAATTCCAGCTCTATCTACAATTGTTGTACATAGACACCTTACGCCTTTGTTCAGCTGTTAAACATCTAAATCTGGTGAGTATAATCAGCCCAAAGCTTAATAGCAATATATATTATGAGTTTATCAAGGCATTAACCAACAGTCTTTTTCAACCTTTGTTCAGCCTTCTAGTTTTATTGAAAATAATAATGGAGTACCACTTCATATCTTATGCTTTTTATGAGACTGCTTTGGAATGTTACTGACTAATTGGATTTACATATTTATATTGTTATTAAATGTCTAAAAATTACCTTTCATTTTGGAATTCGAACCGGCAGTAGCTGATTCATAGGCGTCAAATATACCCACTCGACCACATAAGCATATTTGTGGCAAAAGGTATGATCATTAACTTGAAGCACGTCAAAATTAAGTTGAATAATAGCAACTGGAAGAGTGTTAAACAGCAATGCAGGAACAATAAATTGTGACAGTAAAACATTCCTCTCAAGTGCAGTAAACACAAATTAGACACAAGTGCGCGATGTATTTCAATGCTATTTTAGTTTTTTGCGGTATGAAAAATAAGTGCAATATAAAGTGGTGAACAGACAAAATACAGCAATACAAATGTTAATACTTCCGACGTCGTCGCAGTCCACTTCTAGGTGGATCTATTATTAAAAAGCTCCTTTTGCTTGTCTCTACTGCTGGTGCTGCTTGGGATTAGAAAGGTAGGCAGTGAATGTCGGAAATGCAAGAAGTGACACTGACGGCATTTAACAATATAGTGTAGCGCATTGCTGGATTGTGGAGTAGTATTAAGCTTAAATAAGTCTTGTTCAGGCTTTAGATCAGCTAACTTACTGAGGTTGAATTATGTGGATACAATTCGCTTTATGCACTACTAATCAGCTATATAGTCAGCCTGGTGTTAATCAGCTTCGTACACCTTAAATCAACCAATAATCAACTTCTGTTCTTACAATTCAGCTTGAATTGTTACTTGGTTGATGATCATCTATTGGAGAAAAATACCTAATTGGTCTGCAATAATTTTATATTGTTTGGTATTATGAAAACATACCTGAAAAATGTTATTTGGATTCCTGAACAGATAAAGATTTTCATAAAAATGCCTGATGAACCAGAAGTCTTCAACGAATATCTAGAGGGCTTAATGGAAACTTATTCAAAACATTAAACAGTAAATTCTTCCTAATCCGTTATTGAAGAGCCTCAAGTTAGGGAGGACATCGAGTTAGGGAGGGAAATTTGTATAGGGAGAGTGGTACAAGTAGCCAGGATTTCCATCGAGTTAGGGAGAATATCGAGTTAAGGATACCCAGCCAACAATTTTGTTCACATTACTGAATTGTTACTCTGCTATGTGCATCTTTATTCGGTAAAAACAAATCGTATGAAGTGCATAGAATTCAACTATACGTACAAATTTGGAAGCCATATATGTTCATGTGGAAAAATACTCCTACATTGTATGATTTCGTATTATTCAAAACGGTACTCCATGTATAACTTTATCTTGCATCTAATATGATTTTGTATATGCCAATATCTTATTTAAAATGCTATTTGTACGACTTTCAAATTACATCTCTAAAATTATGGCAGACCAAAAAGCACAGAGCATGCAAAAAATACCTTTTAAATGAACCTTCAATTTTCTGTAGTTGGTGGTACCTGTTGATATTGGTTTGAATAAAAGTTGGAAATTGAAATATAATGAGTTATCTTTTATAATGCTGATCATATTTAAAGCTTACGTCAATATTATCTGCAATACCTAGTTTCGAACCAAAGATCTTTAGTTCTGTAGTCCTGCAGCGATCTTCGCTGGCATATGAGCACGTATATTCGAAGCAATAAATTTCAAATTATGATGCCTCACTTGTATACGCGATTAAATCTAATTCGATCTGGTGTATTATATGATATCATTCCTCCTCTAGCTGAAACTGCTTAGAGCATTATACAATCTTGTTCTGCATGATATATGATTTATTATCTTACATAATTTTAACTGTAGATTAATGTGATTCGTAATGAACTATTTTAATTTGTTAACATGCTTCCCAGAGAAACAGCAATGAGTATAAATTTAGGTTTGGTAGGTTGGTGTGAAGTAATCGTAATATCTGGAAGGTAGGTACACATATATAGTTGTGAGACATTATGTATTCCAAACCCATACAAAGAGCTATGTGGTTCAATGAGCGCATACGACGATGAATTTCACTTGGAATCCTCAATATTTACAATGAGCTTTGCGGAAATTTCTTGCTTTTCTTTCACACTTCATATAACTTTTTAGTCATCGATCCGGTTCACCATGCATTGAGTAATTTCCGCATTAGTCCTAGTTCCAATAAATGTGATACAACGGCAACAATTGCGTCCTCCACCATGTTAATCGGTAATTTTACTAACGGTATTACACCGCGTTGATGATCTGGATATTTACCGTCACGGAATAGCTCATGAGTTCTCAGCTCAGCATCTGCTTTTGGAAACACAATTTCTCTCGTATCTGGAGAATATTTCCCCTTGGTAGTGCGTTTAATCCATGTTTCTCTTTTAAGTTTTCAACGTTTTTTATAAATGCCAGAATTTTCAATGAAACCCTGTGGTTATTTATGAGGACTCCAGAATCCAAAAGTAGCAGTAGCTCTTGTATCATCGGTGACAAAAAATCATCAGCATCCACGGGTTAACTCGCTCCATAGTAAATTCCGATAGTCATTGACTGAATGCGAGGAAGCTCATGAATATTGGCAACAATTGGCTGTTACTTTTTGTTTTTTATGGTCCAATATTTTGTTTAGACAATATGGCTGAAACTGATCGTACTGACATACATAAGATCATCAACATTTTAAAAAATTTCAATTTAATTCTTGACATCATACAACACAGAACACCCAATAGACTAGGAGGAAATTTTATTTTTAAGCAAAATTCTCCTGGCTGAAATGGGAATCAAAGCACAACATCGTGGTACTCACACTCACACACAGTTTACCTAAACTACGGGTAACTCCACTATTCGCATGACCATTACAAATACTATTATGCCAAAGAAAATTTTTATTATATAACTAAAATGAAAGTCTGATAGCGTCAATTTTTGAAGACTCAGTAGCTTGAAATGATTCTAAATTCCAGAATTAATATTTTTCCTAGGTCTCAGATCATGAATCTTTTTTTAGTCTGAATTTACTTGGAACTCTTCACAGCATATCTTCACCTTTTTTTTTTGTTTTTGAGTTCCATTTGAATCATTCTAGAATTTCTATCATACTTCTTTCCAATATTCCCCTAAAATAATTTGGATAATATCCAAACTTTTCCAGTAACATTCTGAAGGTTCTAAGCACTACCTTTTGTAATATCTTACAAATCACTCTCCAATTCCACAATTCCCTCAAACTGATAATGATTCTCAAAAATTGGCACAATTTTGTGTCCATTTTTCTCTATGAAATTTTTAACATATTCTTTATAATTTCCTTGGTACATTCAGAATAACCGTCACACTCTTCTCAGACTTATCCGATAATTCCCTAAGAACTGCTTTGTAGGTAAGGTCAGATTTCTTTTCGCATAATTCCGTTTAAATGTCTTAAAATTTTATTAAAATGAATCTCCATAGAAACATTGAACAGAGTTCCATTGAAATTATTCTTACGATTCATATCAGCATACTCCTTAAGTTTCATCATAAGAATTTTCTTTGATTTCTCTTCCGGATTGTATTTCCTTTATTCACAAAATCTCCTAGCAATTGTCATCAGAGTTGACAAGAAAATTGTCACCGTCTTCAACCAGAGGTTGCACAGACTGAATATTTAACACTAGACAACGGACAACACACCACACCCAGTAGACCAGTAGGGAAATTTTTCGGTTGCCAAAATTTGCACTGGCTGGCTGGAGCGGGAATCGAACCCTCACTTCGTGGCACTCACAATACGCCTGAACGACGGGTGATGCCGCACGACCACGATGCCCACAAAGATGGATGAAACGCTGCTGAGAATAATGTCCAACGTTGATTGCCTTTAATAATTAATGTAGCAAGTTTGGCTTTCTATTTTTTGATTAGAGGGTAAATGAATTGCAGTGATATTTTTAAAATAACATATTTAAAAAAATCTGGGAAAATTTGGGACATATTTAAAAAATCTGGGAATATGCGTGGTCTGTCTGTGTATCTGCCAAAAGATAAAAAAAGGAAAATCCAGATAGATCTGGAATACTGACAATGCTGCTCTCTCGTTCAAGTAAGCATGTGTGTGTGAGAGTGTGCGTTTATTTACATCATACTACACGCTGACTTGATTTCACGCAAGTTTAAAGCAGATCGAGTAGATCAAATTAGCTTCCAAGTGTTTATATTGCTTTGAAACTCTTGCTGTTGTCATTTTAATGGAAATGCTTATATTGTATTACTATTATTATTAAAATTATTGAATCAAATCAACCATTTCTGCCACACGAGCGTGGATTACACTATTAAATAATCTAGGTAATTTTTAGGATTGTATATGAAAAATCCAAATTGGGCCAACGTTCACCCACATGAAGATGTAGATAAAGAAAAAATAGTAATTTCTTAAAAATTTGTTTGTTTTTTTTCAGTTCGTATGTACCTTTGTATTCCTCGTCGCCAATCTCACAACGGCTCAGGACGAAGTTCAGATTGTGCAGTTTACGAATGACAACAACCCTGACGGAAGCTACAACTTTGCGTAAGTATCTACTTGTGCGATGAGTTCGATAACAGTTATAAATGTTGTCTTTTTGGTTTTAGATACGAACAATCCGATGGCCAGAAGCGTGAGGAAACGGGAGTGCTGAAACCGGTGGAAGGCGCTGAAGCGCCTGCAATTTCCGTCACGGGATCGTATGAATTCACCGATCCCACCGGGCAGCGCTATCGGGTGGACTACACTGCTGACGAACGCGGATATCGGCCAACGGTGACTAAGCTGTAAAGATTTCCTACTGATGGATGTGTAGGTAATGCAATAGTACAACCATGGAAGGATTTGAGATTATAATAAATGATTTCGAAAGAACGATGATCGATTCGTTGATGTGTTGTATTGTATTGTTCAGGATTTGGAGATATTAGTTTAGTTATGAGCTCACGATAAAAGGTCAGCTTATAAGGGTCGGTTTCCATGGACATAATGGACAGTATTTTAACCGAACAATAATTTTCCAAAAGTCATAAAAACAATTTAATTAAGACATGGAATTTACTAGATTTTTTGCCAGAAAACAAAAAAAATCACTGTTTTATGTTAACAATCGTATATAATTAGTCTCGGTTTTATGTTACAAATTTTTTAAGATGAGACTCAAATGAATTGTTTGCCTTAAGAGAAAAACTTATGATAAAGATCAAATTTGCCATGTTGTTCATAGGATTTTAATTCTGCTGATCAATTAAATTCTTCACTGACTGTATCACTGTTACACAGTAGGGAGAAAGTGGACCCCAGGTAACAATTTGATGCTTAACAAGTGTTGTTTAATCAATTTGAATAATTGTTGTACATAGACCACGATAACCTTTGTTCAGCTTTTAAACATCTTAATCTGGTGATTTTAATCAGCTGAAAGCTTAACAGTTATATAAATTATAAGCTTAAAAAGCAGGCAAAATAAGTCATTAAATAACAATCTTTTCCAACCCTTGTTCAGCCTTTTAGTTTTATTTAGAAAAAAAAATGGAAGTCTGCTTCATATATTATATATTTTTATGGAAAAGCAACGAGATGCTGATTAATCGGATTAACATATTTATATAGCTATTATTAGTTTCAAAATAATCTTTTCATTTCGGGATTCGAACCGGCAGTCGTTGACTCACAGGCATAAACCATACCTACTGGACCACTTAAGCATATGTGTGGCAAAAGGTATGATCATTAACTTTAAACACGTCAAATTTAATTTGAATAACAGCAACCGGACGAGTATTATACAGCAATGCAGTATTGTAAACAACAATTGATGACCGTAAAACATTCCTCTCATTTCCAAGTGTAGTTAACACAATGTGGACACAAATGCGCGATTTATTTCGATGGTCATGTGAAAGCTATCTAAGTGCCATAATACTTTTGGAATGCTGTGTTAAAATTCAGTTCGAAATAGCAGTCAAAACACAGAAATACAAATGTGAATAATTCCGATGTCGTCACAGCCCACTTCTACCTGGAACTATTCCTTAAAAGCTCCTCTACCTACTGCTGCCGATGCTTGGGATTAGAAAGGTAGGCAGTGAATTTAGAAGAACTAAAATGCCGGAAATGCAACGAGTGACACACTTAATTGCATTCTCGATGTTCGGTACTTTTATTAGCGGACTATACTCTGCGAAACTATTAAATTGCTACACATTTGGCTATTTTACCATGTTTATACCGAAAACAGTAACGTGAGTAACTGAAGATCAGTATTTTCTAAAATCATTTACTGTGTTTTGCTATTTTCATTACTGATATGTTCTGTAAACATAAATTCTCTCCTGTGGTCAATTATTTCAGTAAAAACTCTTACTGACCTCTCGGTTATCATGCTACTTTTACTGAATGCTCATCACTTCATCACCGAACATTTGTTTAAATTTACTGAGCAAACTGTTATTTTTGATTTCAAGTAGAACATCTGCCAAAAACTTCAATAGCGAGCCATTTTGAATAGCTAATTTTGTCGTACGCAGTGAACATTGAACTGTTTTTGTTTTCCTAAAAGTTTTCACTGATCTTTGTCTAAAAAAAGGGAATATGGACGGAATTTTCTAGCGGATCGAAGCGATCTAGGAGCGAAGTAAATTCTTAGTAAGTAAATTTACTTTAATTATGATTTCTCCGTAGAATACTGCGATGGTAGACGACTGCATAATCTGTTTTTCCTGCTGGCGATCGGTTCCCGGATACTTGGAAGACTTAGGACACCACTTATCTTGGCACATACAAAACGGGGACTTTCAAAAGGATGCCATTTTTTATGATTGCACCTTCCAAAGGTGTCATATGCGATATACAAACCAAAAATCGCACAAGCGGCACATTAAGGAGAAGCATCCGTTGCTGTCGGAAACTTCTTCCCCAAAATTTAAGGAACTGCGGGAACCTCCTCTTCTTGAGGAGATCTATCAACATGAAAGTAGCACCGGGGTGAAGCACAACCGTCCGAGGAAATGCTTTCTCTCGATGAAATTAAAAAAATAGCTTCGTTGAGCATTTGTCGCTTAGCTGGTGACGTTGGGCTTCCGCAAACCAAGTTTTTGGAAACTATCAAAATTGGCAAAAATGTTGTTTGGCAAGTAGCAGAATACTTGGAAAAGAAGGCTGTTATTTTCCTGGCATCAAAGGGCGTTGATATAAACAACGATGAGGCGCAACAGTTCTTCAATTCGGTCAGGAACATGGATCTGTTTGCGGATGTTAAACGTATGCATAAAGTTCTGCAGCTGAATGATTATTTTCGCGGAATATCAATAACATTTATATAATTTTTTGCAGCACATTTTTCTTTAAGCCATAGAGAGACGAACCAGCCTATGTAACCTTTCTATAAAAGAAACTCACGTCTATCCTTATGTCTATATAGGAATCCCCCAAATAATGTGGAGGGTGGTGAAGTCCACCTAGAGCGATTTCTTGGTTGTTTTCCTGCCAATTGAACTAATTATGTTTAGATGAATAGTTTTTAGTTGGCATTCATCATAATTATAAATTCAATAAAATTGGGTGGAAGACAGCCGAAAAAAAAAATAATAATAAAAAAATACTGGGTTACTCAGCTATCGACCCATACAATTTATATATTTTTGATAAACAATTTTCAAAAATGTGCTGAGTAGTCTTCACGCTAATACAGTCTATTCGGTGAGATTTGACAGCTCTCAAGAGTGTCATGATCTATATTTTTGCCGAAAGTTTTACAAAAAATTACTGAGTTGTTGTCACGCAAAGCAATCTTTTCGGTTATATTTGACAGCTCGCAAAAGTGTCTTGACTACCGATTGTTCAGCATCTGTTGAAATTACCGAAATGATCGCCGAGCGCTCAGCTGTTCTAATCTCGTCAAAAACTTTACTGAGTTCGGTAAAAATAAGTTAGTGTGTACATTTAACCGATTAGGCTATCAACATATTTTTAGTGCATTGCTGATTTGTGGAGTAGTGGATCGAAGTAGGCCGCGCTGCGAAAATGACGTGTTTTTTTGCTGCGTCGTTTTCGTTCTAGTAAAAATGATATAAATTTACACTTTAATTTTTAAAAAGTGTTAATTTGAAAGTACAGAAGTGATGTTGAAAAGTGCATTGAGTGAAGATTTTCAAATTCCTATCTGTTGCATGTGGTGCCGACTGTTCTTACCTACGCTCAGCTAAGTTTATTTACCTTTTCGTTCCTCTGTCCTCGATTGGAAATATCCATCTAATTCTAGACGATTATTTCATAACTTACTAAATACGTTTCAATAGCGGCGCCGGTGGTGTAGTGGTAAGCGTGATTACCTCTCACCCCAGCAGGCCTGGGTTCAATCCCAGTCGGCGCCGCCGGGATGTTCTGAGGCATAGCATCTCTGATCACGCCTTCCTTCGGAAGGGAAGTAAAGCCGTTGGTCCCCGGTTCATGAGTTGATGGGTCGATAGGTAGGGTCCAGGTGTGGGAGCTGCCTCCCTGGCGTCGGTAGCATTGGTGCTCAGCACGGAAAACAAGATCGACGGAAAACAAACCAAAGGAAAAAATAAAAATAAATACGTTTCAATCAAGTATTGTACTACTACTTGATTGAAAGTTTCAGTACATTATCAATGGTGTATATTTGCATCGATAATGTATTGGAACGGGGCTTATCATGTGTGGAAATAGCTTCGGAATGCTTGAGTTCTTGAAATGGGCTATTGTTGCTGTGTTAGAGCTGTCACCTTCTAACTCCCTGGTTCAAGGTTCTTTGTATTCATAAGAAATGATTGCAGGCAGATTTTATCCATAATACCACTGCCAAGACAGTGGGAGTTAGGCCAAGGGCGAATCTTCATTCTATTCTACGATTCCTACAAATATACCTACTATTAATAACCTTTTACACAGAATGAATTCTGCACATGTTTAGGATCAACAAACATTTTCAGGCGCAAAGGAGCAACAGGATCGAACTGATAACGTTTCTTAATTCCAAAATTTGAAGACTGTTTTGAATAATATGTTTAGGTAAAAGGCAGCATAAACGGACAGATAAACTACTTACAGCTTCTATTTATTAAATGCTTGATATAACGATTGCCAGCAACGCCGGTTGAGCGTATCCTATGACTTACCCTCCCTACTAACAAAAATCCATCCTTCTCGTGACACTTATGAGGGGTCGTAGAGTTCTCTGCACCTCTCTTAAGTAAGTGTTGGACTAACATTGCCCCCTTGCCCCATCAGATGCAAGGACGTGGCCAGGACAACTCTGGTCTGTTGGAGGGAGACACATCATTTATCTAAGAGGTAGTAATTAATGACAAATTACTATCTAACAGCAACGGATGAAAGTGGATCTCCTTTTTAACAACAGTTTGGAGCTCGTACCACCTACGACATTGTGCAAGCTGGTTTATGCTATGCTATGCTATGCTATGCTATTCTATGCTATTGCTGATTTGAGGAGTAGTGTTTAGCTAAAATAAGGCTTGTTCAATCTTTAGATTAGCTAACTTATCGAGGTTTATTAGAAATTAGCTTCATGCACTACTAATCAACTATATATTCAGCCTGCTGTTAATCAGATGTGTACACCTTAAATCAACCAATAATCAGCTTCTGCTCGTACTGTTCAGCTTGACATTCAGCTTGTTCAGCTACTTGGGACATAATTGAAAAGAAAAATAGTTTGGATCTTTGGATATTTTTACCATGATCTCCATTAAATTCTATAGGGAAATCCATGTTTTAATCAAAATGGGTAGAAAAACGAATTTTTATTGGAATTTCAAAATTAAAAAAAAATGCTTCTAGGTTTTCATCTTATTTCCGATCAATAAAATTGAATCGAAACGGTTTTTCATG